AGAAAGAGGTCCAGGGGTAAGATGATCAATCCTCATCTAGGAAGACAAAGGGGATAGACATTGGAAATAGGAGAAAACAAGTAAGAGGACAGTAGCCTACCACAGAAGGCACCTGAAAGACTCTACCTAGCAATGTATCAAAGCAGATGCTGAGACCCATAACCAAGCCTTCGGCAGAGAATCATATGAAGAAAGGAGGAATTAGTATATCCTAGAGGGGAAAGGGAGCCCCACAAGGTCCAAATATATCTAAGCACAGGAGTCTTCTATGAGACTGTTTATCCAACCAAGGACCATGCATGGATATAACCTACAAGCCCTGCTCAGACATACCCCATGGTAGCTCAGTATCCAAGTGGGTTCCCTAGTAAGGGGAACAGGAACTGTTTCTGACATGAACTCATGAGCTTCCCCTCCCCCCTGAGGAAGGAGCAGCCTTGCTAGGCCATAGATAAGGACATTGCAACCATCCTGAAGATACCTGATAAGCTAGGGTCAGATGGAAGGAGGGGAGGACACCCCCATCTCAGTGGACTCGGAAAGGGGCAGGGAGGAGATGAGGGAGGGTAGGATTGGGAGGGAAGGAGGGGTGGGCTACAGCTGGGATATAAGTGAATGTATAAAATTATTTAAAAATAAAAAAATATTAATAAAAAAAGAAAAACAGAAGGAGTACAAACAAATTACCTAATAATGAAACTCAAGAATTTGTGAATACAACAACAAACTAAATCCAGTAGATGGGAAGAAATACTAAAAATCAATAGCAGAAATCAATCAATATATTTACTGATCTTTTGTATTGTTTTGTTTGTAAAAACTTTTTTATCTTTTAATTAATTTTTTATATTAATTACAGGTTATTTACTTTGTGTCCCAGCTGTATACCCCTCCCTCAGTCCCTCCCAATCCCACCCTCCCTCCCTCATCTCCTCACTGTCCCTCTCTAAATCTACTAATAGGGGAGGTCCTCCTCCCCTTCCATATGACCCTAGCTTATCAGGTATCTTCAGGACTGGCTGCAATGTCCTCCTCTGTGGCCTAGTAGGTCTGCTTCTCCCCTGGGGATGGAGAGGGAAGGTCAAAGAGCCAGACATTGAGTTCATGTCAGAGACATTCCTTGTTCTCTTTACTAAGGAACCCACTTGAATACTGAAGTGCCATGGATTACATCTGAGCAGAGGTTCTAGGTTATATCTATGCATGGTCCTTGGTTGGAGAAACAGTCTCGTAGAAGACCCCTGTGCCCTGATATATTTGGTCCTTGTGGAGCTCCTATCCTCTCCAAGTCATACTAACTCCCCCTTCTTTCATATGATTCCCTGTACTCTGCCCAAGGTTTGGCTATGAGTCTCAGCATCTGCTTTGATAGTGCTGCCTCAAGATCCAGCTATACCACTCCTAGGCGTATATTCAAAAGATGCTCAAATACACAACAAGGACATTTGCTCAACCATGTTCATAGCAGCTTTATACGTAATAGCCAGAACCTGGAAACAACCCAGAGGTCTGAGGAATGGATACAGAAATTGTGGTACATATACACAATGAAATACTACTCAGCAATTTAAAAAAAGGAAATCATGAAATTTGTAAGCAATTGGTGGGATCTAGAAAAGACCATCCTGAGTGAGGTATGCCAGAGGCATAAAGACACAAGGTATATACTCACTTATAAGTGGATACTAGACCTATAAGATAAACTTAATAAAGTTTATCTTTATTAAGGATAAACATAATAAAATCTATACACTTAAAGAAGATAAACAAGAAAGAGGACCTGGGGTAAGATGATCAATCCTCACTTAGAAAGACAAATGGGATGGACATTGGAAGTAAGGAGAAAACAAGAAACAGGACAGGAGCCTACCACAGAGGGCCTCTGAAAGACTACCTAGCAGTGTTTTTATTTTTTTAAGAATTAGTTCTTTGAGATTTGTTTAACAAGACTGGCATACTCTTGTCCCAACCACCTAAAAGAGAAAAAACAAACAAACAAACAAACAAAAAATCAGAGACCAACAGTCAATGAAGAAATTAAAAAATTCAGGGAATACTTCTAAAACCTATAATACTCCATTATTACTTAGCCGTTTTAAAAAATATTATGAAATTTGAAGTTAAATGGATAGGACTAGAAAAAATCATTCTGAGTGAGGTAACCCAGACATAGAAAGACAAATATGGTTTTTATTCACTTATATCTGGATATTAGCTGTTAAGTTAATAATAACCATGCTGAAATCCATAGAACCACAGAACAGGTATAGAATAAGGAACTATGGGGACAGATAGATCATGTTAGGAAAGGGAAATAGAATAGTTATGGATGAGTAGAGGATGGAATGGGAGGATCAACTAGGGAGGGGGAGACAAGAAGGGAAGGAGGGAGGGAATATGGAGAAGGACCTAAATTAACTGCCATTTGTGGGGTAATATGAAAACATATATAGATATTTACACATGTGTCTCTCTCTGTGCATGAAGACAACATAAATTAAATTGCTAAATAATGGGGGGAGACAGGGCCCCAGTTGGCAATGAAGTTACCACAATGAAGCTTGCATTGCAGTGGTGCCCAAGCCGTGTGTCACAACCCCTTTGGGGTTGCATATTCGACGTTTACATCACGATTCATAACAGTAGAAAATATGAAGTAACAATGAAATACCGTTATTGCTGGTGTCATTCTAACATGAGGAATTCATTAAAGCATCACAGCGTTAGTTAGGAAGGTTGAGAACCACTGCTCTGTTGGGTTACATCTAAAGGAGTGGTTGGCCAAAGGGCTAGATGGAAACCCTAAGCAACCCAGGCTATTGCCAAGAATATACATTGCTCTCCAAAAACTGACAGCAAGACCCATTGCTGAAGACACCTACACAACTCACCAAACATGGAGAAGTTGAGCTGGAGCCTAATTAGAGGCTTTACCTCTATGTTCTATTATCTTTGGTACAGGAAGGCACTCTGCATACTACTGAAAGACAAATGTAAACATAAAGCCAGCCAGAAACGCTTTGATCTGCAATGGTGTCCTGCCTGTAAGATATGCTACTACACAAAGCTTGTGGGAGTAACCGCTCAATAACTAATATGACTTGAGCACCACTCTATGAGATGGAATCCATAGCTCACACTGCTTCGGTGCCAAGAACCTGAGACTAGATAGCCCAGGGACATAGGGCAAAACCAAATAGAGCAATGACCTGGAAAATGGGTAGGAGAAGTAACCCTGAAATGACCTCTAATGACATTCTGCTATACTCATAGATCAGTGCCTTGCTCAGCCATCATCAGAGAAGCTCCCTCTCAGCAGATGGAAACAAATACAGACAGCCACAGCCAGATATTATGAAAAGAGCAAGAGACCTTGGACTCCTCGGCCCTCAAAAGAATGTTTCACCCTCCCCTCAAACCTCAGAGAACCTTGATGAAGATGAGGCAGGAAGACTGGAAGAGCCAGAGGGCATACAGGACACCAAGAGAACAAGGCCTTTTAAATCAACATGATCAACGCTCATATAAACTCATAGAGACTGGGGCAGCATGCACAGGGTCTGCACAGGTCTGCAAAGGGCCCCTTATGTATGTATTATGGCTTCCAGTTTAGTTTTTTAGGATACCTGAGTGGGAGAATGAGTGTTTGTTTCTTGTCCCTTTTCCTAGGCTTTTTTCCTTATGTTTTACTTTATTTTATTTTATTTTGTCTAATTCCAATATGTTATCTTTTGCTTCATCTTATATTTATTTTATTTATAAAATCTTATAAGTTTCTAAAATAAAGTTATAAAATTAGAAAATCTAAAAGAAAAGGATAAATCTGTAGGTTCTTCAACCATGAAAGTTAAACTAAGAAGAGAAAGAAGAGATCCTCAACTTAAATAGACCCATAACAAACAAAGCAATAGGAATAGTAATAAGAAAACTTTCCAGATTAAAGAAAATCCCAGGCTCAGATATATTCACAGTAGAATTCCACCAGACTTTCAAAGATCTACAAGTGCTTCTTTTTTATTTTTTAATATTAGTTAGTTTATTAACTTTGTATCCCAGCTGTATCCCCCTCCCTCATTCCCTCCCAATCCCACCCTCCCTCCCTCATCTTCTCCCTGCCCCTTTCCAAGTCCACTGATAAGGGAGGACCTCCTCCCTTTTCATCTGACCCTAGCTACAAGTACTTCTTAAATCATCCAAAAATTAGAAAAAGAAGCCAAACTTCCAAACTTCTTATATGAAGCCTGCATTATTCTAATACAAAAATCAGGCAAAGACACAACAAGAAAGAAAACTACAGGACAATGTCCCCATTGAACACAGATGCAAAAATTCTCAAAAAAAATAAATACTTGCATGCCAAATTTTCAGACATCTATCCAAAAGATCATCCACTATGATAAAGTGAAATTCATCCTGGATTAAGTAGGCATAACCCAGCATGTGTAAGTCAATAAAAGAAATCAAATAAATGTCTTAAAATTCCCACATAATCATCCCAATGGATGCAAAAATGCCTTTGACAAAAGTCCTAGAGCAGTAGGCCTGGAGGAAACAGATCTCAGCACAGTAAAGGGTATACCTGACAAACCAATGGCCAATGTCATCCTCAATAATGGATTCATTGTTAGACACCAGGACTTGAAGACACTAAAGCATGCATCTTTCCTCATGGACTCTATAGTTCCAAGGGAGAAACAGCCAGGTGTTAGCTGTGCCACAGATAAGTTGCTGTTGCAATCATAGAAAAGCTAGAAATCAGGGTACAGAGAGAGAAGACTGTGTCCCCAAGCCTAGGCTAACAGAATGAGGAGGCCTCTTTGAAGAAGGTGGATCCCATGAAGACAGGAGTGATGTCTGGGCTGGTGAAGAGTCCTTAGCTACTGTGACAAAGAGTTAAACAAGAGCAATGTATAGCTAAACTTCACTGTGTACAATCAGTCAGAACAGGAAGTCCTAAGGATCTGTCCCTCTTCAGTAAAGAATCAACTCTGCTCAAACACGTGATGGGCAAGGTGTATAACACTAATAGGATGTGTCCTTACCCCAATTGTTCCAAAGCTTTCTGGCTTTCTTCGCATCTTTTTCTTACACAGGTGGGTCCATATCCACTTGACCAGGTACCACAAGGACTTGGGGCTTGGGATGACGTTGAAGGGGGTAGGCAGGGTACCTCCTTCTTCAAAGTAGCTCATCCAAAGCTTTGTTCGAGCAAATTTCCACTCTATATCTGCATGGTCCTGAATGAGAGAAGATGACAACTGCAGACAGGTTTCCTGATTCACAAGGTAATATAAGCCAAACAGATGGAGCCTGAACCTGACACAGAGTGGTTCTTGGAACATTAATTAGATAGTTTGTAAAAACACTGCTAACTCCCCAAGACAATGGCTTACCCGCAAGGGCTCATGTCACTGTCACTCTGTTCATCCTTCCTTCTTCGAGGAAAGAGATCTACGGTGTAGTAAAGAGACTGGGGTGACTGATTATGACTGGGAGGCAATGGTGTAGTTTTAGCCCTGAAGATGGCACAGTTCAGTTTCATTAGAAGATAGCCTGAGGGGTGGCTTTGCTCTCAGCCTACGCCTTGTACACTGCTCAGGTGAGTGCCACCTGCAGAGAGGCTCACAGAGGAGCATTTGATGCTCCAGGGGATGTCTTAGTGGACACATCATTCACATGGATAACTCTGGCTCTTCTTCAGACAACTGATGCAAATTTATAGAGAGGAATCCCCCCAATACACAACTCAGCACAGAACCTCTATCACAGCGCTGAGTCTTGGTGCAAGTGAACAAGAGCTAATAAACAGGGTATTTGTGTCTCAGGATGCTGGCCAAATATCACCCGCTATTCCAGCACAATCGTGAGACTCCCATTGCCTCATAAACCATTGCTCAGTTCAAGCTACGCACCCCAGAGAAACCTAGAACAGCCGAGGCGCATTCACAACATTTTCTACTCTCTCTTCTCAATATTGAAATTATTTGCTAATTTCTTTTGTTCCTATTATGTGTTTTGAGACAAAAAACTGTTAAGAAATTATTTGAGGAGGCTTGATTGATACAGTTTGGCGGTTGTTAACTTCTCCACATTCTTTGATTTATCCTATGGCTCTGAGGTGTGGGTAGCAATAACCAAAAAGAGATCTTGCAGAGTTGGTGCTGTGATTCTGGGAGATAGAGTTAGATGCTAGACACGGAAACATCCCTAGGAGCCTCCCTCCCATGACAATAACTCTTCCCTCACATGAGGGACCCCTAGCTCTGTCCTGATGCCTGCCCATCTTACAAAAACTTCAGCATTTGGGCTAAATAAAAAGGGAGATTTGAAGATTGTTTTCCATCCAATGCCCATATGGGTCCAGTGAGACCGTGTCACGCTGCTCTTGAGTAATGTTTTCTTCTGGACAAATCTGAGGCATCTAATGTTTCACAGGACCTAAAAGGTTGGCATTGTCTCCCTACCTAGCTCAAAGGTGATGGATTTCCTTTTTTTGTTTTCTCGGTTACTCTGGATCTATGTGGAGTCTGTCTAAAAAACAGAAACAAAACCCTTCAGATTCTGGGATGTTACTTGAGGTTCTGTATAGAGACACATTCTGATGTTTGTTCCCAAATAAGTAGAGCCAGTGACTTTCTTACATAATCTCTGTAAATCAATAACACAAATGCTGTATTGTAATGTCTTCCACAATTTTCCAGTGACAGGTATGAGAAAAATTTACCTCTGTGAAGAAAACTGAACTAAAATTTAGAGTGCTCCTTGACAGAAGTCATGGTAACAGTTCAGAAGTTCTGCTATAGATTCAAGGACACAACACAGCTGCTGCTCCTTGTGAAAAAAAAATGGACAGCCTGGCATTCTGCTGCACACTAAGGTGGGACCATAAAAGGTTTCTCAGGCGCGTTCTGTGTCACAGTGCGTTTGTTAGTATCGCTGTTCTCTGCTTAGATCACTAGTTCTAAGCTTTTAGTGGGCAAAGATACCATCTCAGTTGTTGCAGTGTTCCTATACCAATTCTTGGTAAAAAAAAAAATAAAAATAAAAATAAAAAAAGAAGAAAAAGTATTTATCCAATCTGTTGTTAAGAGTTTTTTTTGTTGTTGTTGTTGATTTTGTGCTTTTTAACACAGGACCCCATGTTTTAGCCCAGGCTGGTCTGGAACATATTATGCAGCAGGCTACCCTTGAATTCAAATTGGTCTACCCACCTCAGCTTTCCAAACACTGGGATTACAGATGTAAGCAACCCTTCCTAGGCAGAATTTGTGAAATGTCGAATAAATTATGTTGTTTGCAAGCCAGATTTTTAAATAATCTATATCATGTCAAATATTGGTTTGGAGACTTCAAGATAATTTCTATACCTGTTGCTTTTACTAAGGTTTCACAAATTTTATTTCATGGGTCTGTGCATCACCTGTGGGCCTAGTGCTAGCTGAGGCCGGAGGAGGGCTTTATGTTCCCTGAGAGTGGAGTTATAGACTGTTGGTAGCGCCATGTGGGTGCTGGGAATTGAACCTGGGACTTCTAGAAGAGCAGTCAGTACTCTTAAGTGCTAAGCCATTTCTCAAGCCCCTGTTTTTTCTAAGCTTTAAGAAAGAGCTTTCTTTCTTTATTAGATTCATCTATGGCTTTCCCCTTACCCAGATTTATCTCTGGATTTTCTTTTTAACTTCCAACCTGGTGTGTTTGTTTATGCTGACTTAGCAGCTCACAGGGACAGAGGTGAGGCAGAGCCTGATGGGCTGCTGAGAAATGCCCTACCTCTTTCTAAACTGTTCCGTGGCAACAGCTCCCTGGCAACATAGGCTGACTTGATTTTTCCTGTTACAACATAGGCTGACTTGATTTTTCCTGTTTCTTGTGATTAAAATTAGATTAACATGCAGCCATTTTTGCCACATCACTGTTTATATACATCACCAGCTAACCATTTACAATTGTGATCTCTCTCATCAATAGCAAGTTATAGACTTTATTTCCGATAACGATAAGGGAGAATACGGGTGAGAACAACATTTGGCTGAAAGGATATTGAGTTAAAAGTAAAGTTGTCCACTTACGGCAATTAGTTGGTAAGAATTATTCATCATAGCGATCAACATGTTGAGCAGGACAACCAGAGAGATGACATTGTATGTCCCAAACATGGTGGCCCCAACAAACTCAGTGAACTCATGCTGGGCTTTGACATTGGTAACATACAGATTGATTAGTCCAAATATTGACCAAAACAGGGACTGTAACGTCTCAAATAACCTGGAATAAAATATGAAAGCAGTAATGCAATCTTACATGTACATATATATGCTGTTAATTTAAAGCCAAACTTACAAAATTAAACTTAATAAAATAATTTAAAGTATTTTTATCAAACTGATACAAAAATTATACTCATTTTTCCTCTTTAGTTTATTTTTCCAGAGGGCATTGAAAGCTACATTTTGTTTGCTGGAGAAAATGTATTAAGAACAGTGTTTAACCTCTCCAATGGTTGGAGGAAAATATAGAGATCACAATATAATATTCATGACACACAGAAACTATATAAAGTTTGTATCTTAACATCTGTAAATCAAACTTTATCAGACACAATCACCCTTGGTTATATTTGTGTCGTCTATGGTTTGTTTCAAGCTGGCCATGTTGGCAAAAATAAACAATTGCCAACTGAGAGAACAACTGACTCCCAGTGTCTAAAATTGTTTACTCTTTGTTCCTGTTCATAGAAAGCTTGTTGTTTCCTGCCCCCAGCCTCTGAAGGCTAGTTAATTCTAAAGCTCACTGTTTTGTAAAAGTCAATCATACCTTAGTTATAGAGTATTAAAACAAATTACGTTTAGTTTTTAGATTTTCACATTTTTATTTGACCTTCACGCAGTATACTGCATATGGTCTCAGAATGCTTAGTTTCTAGAAATTACTTTTTTTTTTTTTAAATTTCAAGGCATATTTTACTCATTCATGGAAATAAGTGAATTCTGCTGGTTTTATTAAGAGAAGTTTTCTTTATTTAAACAAGAGAAAACATGATAGTCTTATAGTCACCTATACCCAAATTAAGAATTTCTGGTTTCCATGTGATATGTGACACGTTTATATGGTCTAGTAAGATGATGATGGTGCCTTGAGCTTTTAGACTCTTAGACATGATGAAATTAAGACTATATTTGCTTTATACAGGAAAAATGCAGGCAAAAACCTTGGGATACCTGGCACAGAGGGTGAAGAGTTGGAATTACTGTCTTTAGAGAGACCAGAACTGGAATTGCATTTGGAAAAGAGGCCAATCACATTCCAGGAGCTGCCCTTCCTGAGCTGCCTACCCCATGAATGTTAGTTAGGTCAGCTGTGGTCAAATGACCGAACATAGGAGGCCAACAGCCTGGACCAAGGAGAACATGACCAGACTTCCTCTCTGGAGGAAACACGAGGCTACCATAGCTGCCCGAAGAGTGTATGAGGCTCCCTGGGAAGAAGGTGTGCCGGAGGTTGCCACCATACATAGCAAGATGCAGAAACGAAGAATGAATCAGCCACAGGGTAAGAAGCTGAATGAATACATGGGAAGACACTGGGTCACAGTGAGGCTGGTACATAGGAACCCCCCCCTGGCCCAGCCTTCTCAACTCCCTATCTTCCTAAAGCTGGTCTTCTCCTCCTTGCTCAGAGGACCTGAAGGCTGCACTGCTGTGTGTGTTCTTTTTATTTTTTATTTTTTATTTTTTTATTTTTTATTTTTATTTTATTTTTTTTTTGCTGTGTGTGTTCTTATAGCGGAAAACCCATTACCGATACAATTCATTTCTGGCCTTCGTGATCAAAGAAGTTTAACTAAATATGTAAACTGCCACTTAAACCTTCTCATAAATCTATTGCTTTTTTTTTTTTAACAAATAAAGCTTATTATTTTTAGTTGGAAAGCTGATTCTAAGAGATGAAATATTGTTTAACAGCTTAGCACAATTAAATGCTGTAATAGATAATTGTAACAAAGGTGCCGCTTTGAGCAAATTTAGTCAGAAAGAAGGGTGTTGTAGGAGAAGGGGAAGATATGTTCCTATGGGAGAACCCAGCTGGGTCCTCAAACTGTCAGCGAGACTTAAATGAATCCATCAACTTTAGAAAACCTCATAAAAACATTTTAATTTGGTGCAAGATTGTAACTTCTTAACTTTTAGTAACTCTTAGACAGCCTTCAAATTCAATATGATTAACTGTGTCCCTTCATTCCCAAAAGTGATGACTTTTAGGAATATGTGAGTATAATTCAGACGTGTTTGTCCTGACATGAGTGAGCAGCTCAGGAACAGTTTTTCATGATATGGCTGAGATTTAACTCAGTAGATAAAGCACTTGCTGTGCAAGCCATTGCGGGAGTCCAAATCCCTGACACCCACACCAGAGCTGGGTAGGTCTGTCTTTTTCCCATAATCCCAGTCTTTAGGAGGTGGAGATGGGTTTCTGGGCTGGTGGCCATGCTAGCTAAATCAGCATGCTTTGGGCTTAGTGAGAGAGTTGCTTCAACAAAGCAGAGAATGATAGAGGAAGACACCAAACTTCAACCTCTGTCCTCCAATTGCACACACAGACCCACATACATACATACATGTACCATACAGGAAAGAAGGGAAAAAAGTTACATATTGAATAGTAAAGATTATATAATAGATCATGTAAAATACTGACACATCAATGACATTACAAGTCCCTTTTATTATGGCTGCTTCCTCAAGCATTCTAATAAAAGCAACCATGCAAATTAAAGGGCTATGATTGAAAATATCCCCATTTGCTTCTGTATAAAAAGACTTAATTTTTCAGAGATTGTTCATTATTCACTTAGCAAATACGTATAGACATCTAAAAATTAAAAGTTAGCAAGAAGAACGCAAAAAGACATTTTGTGTTCAACTATATAGTTCACTTTTCTTCTTTTCCTTTGTTCAGTGGATGACTCAGCTTTAAAACTTACAGGACTTTCACCCAGCTAAAATATATCTGCTTCTTGGGTGGACTAAGTCCCTGATATTAAGGTATCCCTGAATGAGTTGTTTCTTCGTTGGACTTTTATGTAGGTTACTATTTCAAGGCCATTGCTTCTAGGAATATTTTAATCATCACTGATTCTCAAATCCACAGAGACTCACACTGTCCATAAATTGAGGAATCGTTAGCTGCAGCACAGCTAAGAAGGCCCTTATGTGGCTGATATTTTCCATGTTGTAGGAGTGAAAAGAGGTGCTTTTTTTTTTTTTTAATGCTCACTAATTTTTCAAGGTATTGCCACAACCTAATTGACTGACATGACACAAAATCTGTGTTGATCTCTAAACTGAAGACCCACTTTTTATGGGTTAAGGTTTTGTTTTTATCAAAATAACATTTTATTTCTTTCTCTCTGACGGCATCTTCTTTTTTTTTTTTTTTTTTTTCAGCTGTTCCTTTCTTGGATAAATATTGGCAGCTAGGGAAATGGATTGAATGAAAAGTATCATATCCTGGGTTAACATTTTGTCTTGTCCCATGAGACTAAAATGATGAGCAAACAAATTCATGCTGAGACCCGACTCAACATTTTATTTTTGTTTTCTGTCCCAAAAAGGTCATCTTAAAATACATAAAGGATGGCCTTAACTGGCCAACTTAAGAATTAGGAATTTGTCTCCTGTTCCAATATATGCAAATGAGTTTACTAAGCAGAAATGCCATGAGGTTCATGACCCATGCTTTACAGGACAGTCCCTTTACTGGGACTTCACAGGTATCTTCTAGTGACGTGCAGTTTACCCCGTGCCAACGAAAAAACTACGAAACACAAAAGGCGTTGGGAACTGTATTCATTTACTGGTGGAAGCAATGTGGAATGTTATCAGATCCAAGGCACAGTCTATACTCAGTGAGCACGAACGGCCATAGGCACCTGGGAATGGGCACTAGAAAAAGCATGTCTGGGAATAACAACATTTTGAAAAGTGTGAAGGCAAAATAAGGGGCAATGGGATGGAAAAAGAAATAATATTCTGGGGATTCAGAAGTAATTTTTCAGGAAAGAGTAAAATAATGTTAGGAACCTGGAAAAAACAAAAACAGAAAGAGGCAAAGACCAGACCACTGAAGGACTGAAATGGTCCAGCTAAGGCCAGGTGTGAATCTGTTAAAAGATAAGAACTTATTTGGGTACTTTAAATGGTGGAGCCTCTAATCTTGGTCAAGAAAGAACTTTCCTGAGAAGAATGTAGACAGACAGACAGACAGACAGGACAAACTCAATTAGACTTAGACCTGGAAAGTAAACAAGGGGAGATATTGACAAAATAATGATGTTGAAGGTGAGAATTTAACAAACACCATGTGGATTAGAGGGAGAGGAAAGCACAGTACTAAATACAAATTGTTTTCACTGTGTGGGTGGACTATGGTAACACTGGCCAGGAGGGTTGGGGATGGAAAAGGGAACGCATGGAAAGAGATTGGTGATCTGTCTCCATTTGAAACTTATCTTCAGGAGTCACATTGAGAGTAATGTTAAATAATAAATATCCACTGGTACCAGTGACCAAGGAGCCCACATTGTATCTCCTTAAATGACTTCTGCTGCAGGAGCTCAGGAAGAATGACTGAGAGGTGAAGAAAGACGTTCAAACAGGGTAACACAGATGAATTAACTGAGACAGACAGTTAACGCTAGTCCAGGAGGGAGGGGCAGGATGTTAACAAAAGAAACGAGAAATGGCGCTGTACCAAAAACAATACTATTCAGGATTCACCGCCGTCGGTGAGAACCTGTGATGTTTCACAGACACTATGTTAGACATTTTATATGACTTGATTTTAATGACATTTGGAATATGATCTTTGAGACAACAGGTAGTAAAAAGCTATTTTTTTTTTGTAGAAGAAAAACTGAAGGCAAAAGAAAGCAGAGATTGAATGTAGATAACAAGAGACACCAAACATCACCATATGTCCCTCTTATGACAGACATCTGCTACATCAAAGCAAAGTCAGCTAAGGATACGCTTAAGCCTTACACAGCCTATTTAATAATATTCAGGGTTACTTGTATTATTTAGCTTTTAGTATCATTGTGAAAAACATAATTGCCATTTGCAGGAAAAATAATTTAGTTGAAATATCTGATCTCTGGGGGAGGGTGTCAGCTGAATCAGTCCTATAATATCTGAGATATGCAATTATCTATAGCCTTTCAAGTTATGAAAAAAACCATGGGTACAGCTAAACTAAAACCATACTTAGGTTAAAACAATCTGACATATTTACTTTTGGACTAAATTTATATCAGAGAATTTACATTGGACATCTAAACTGTGATGGTTTTAGTTGTGTATTATACTCAGTTATTTACTAATAAATCAATATTAGGATGATTGGATGGGGATGGTTGGAAATTTTAGGGTATCACATACCAGGACAGTGTTAGAGTAGCCTTGTTACTGCCATTACTGTCAGAGGAATCAGGCTGGTGAGGAGGGTTGGGTAGTGAAAGAGATCTCTTCCATTAAATTAAAAAGACAAGGGAGGGAGGTGCCTCACTGTAGGTGCTGTGTAGAGCCGCCTCAGGAATACAACACATGAGAATGACATGACAACCCGCAGAGGAGTGGGGCTCGGCGAACAGCTTGTCATGGGATATGCACTAGAAAGCAGCAAAGGTTTTAAGAAAGATGGAGCTTGGGAAAGCACACTCTGTCAGAAAGCCACAGAGACAATCAGCCACCAGACAACATCCAGAAAAATCCTGAGAGGCACTGAGAGAGGGTGGTGGTGACGTCTTGTCCTTGTGAATGAATCCCTTGCTCTCCATGCTTTCAAGATGACATGTAAGGTCCTAGCAAACAAGGATATCACTGAGGGAGGTTTCACCACCCCCCTGTAGCCCAAGGTCAGAAGAGAATCAGGGAATCAGGACTGCATGTTTTCTTGTAACTGCTAGTTTGTATCAAATCTAAAAGGGCGAGATTAAAGTCCTTGGTGCAAATAAACAGATGTTGGTTAATTAAAATAGAGTTTTAAATATCAGGATAAAAAAACAAACAGATGCAGGATTAAACCAGCTAGAGCATTTTAGCTACGAGTGATTTAGGTTATGTGACATGCTTGCTTGCCTTTCTAGTTAGAAAATTACTCTTCTGCAGTGTATATATTTCTAGGAGGGTCTATGAAGAAGGTTATTAAAGTGACAGAATGAGCACTTTATTGCTGTGTCTAGAGAAGTCACCCAGCTTCTTAACCTGCTAGCCTTCTGTTTCTCACAGTGGGGAGGAAATGGACACTCTTGTTTGGAAAGTCAACAGAAGTTGACCGTGGCTGTTGATAACTGCTCTCCCTCATGCAAGCTTACAAGAAATTTTACCTAGGCAGTAATAATGGCTAGACTTGAGTGTTCCTTTTGGGTAATTTTTGCGTGGTTGTGTTTTATTCATACTGCACTGAGAATTGAAGGAAACATGAAGGGCCTTGTGGAAATACAGAAAAGCACTTGGATTTCTCAACGAGATTGAGTGCACATGCTTACTTATAAGATGTCAATAATACATAGGTTTCCTTTATGAATTCCACATTTTCAAACAGGATATATAACTCTTCCTTTTCATGAGGTCATTCAAAAGAAAAGGCCATTTACTAAAACTTAAAATAAATGTACCCAGTATTTTTTTCTTAATGCCAGAAGCCCGCATTTCTATTCAGAGCCATGTTAATTCCATTTCCTGCATTATTCATAGCTCTAATTCTCCATTTCCTTTGCAATCCTTGTGGTGGATTTTTCAAATTTGTGAAGTCATATACTCTTAACTCTGCCCAATGTTACCGGGAGAAATGCCTCTCCGACTTACGTGGAAAATGCGTTATTCTGTTTCTCACACCGTATTCCTTTGCAGCTTAACCCCTTCGTTTCTTCATAGTAGAAGTACAGTTGATTTAGGCCATTTGCAAAAGCTAGCAGTACGAGGCAGTATATGAACAAGAACTTTAGGATGTCCAGAAGCATTCTTCCCAGAGATATCTGCAGAGGCCCCAGGTGAGAATTTGCAGTGAACAGTGAGATCAGGCGCAGGGAGCTGAAGATGTTTGCAATAGCAAACAAAGCCTCTGCCACCAGGGTGGGGTGCCACATGTCCCATGATTCTCGTGGGTTCAGAGCACTGTACTGAGAAAAGAGAAATGAAGGGGAAGTAAACACACACATTGACAGAGTCAAGTTCAGATCTGAGGTGCTTTCTGGGGTCCAGCTCAGCCACTGTTTGGAAGGTGCATGCTTTAAGTGGTGGCAGCTAGAATGAGCTATACAAAGACAGAAATTCATTAATTTATAACTCTTGAGCTTTAGTCCACGTGACTGTACAGGCCTGTCATCATATTTTTTTATTCGTGTCAGCGTTTTAAAATTTTCACATGAGAATCAATCAGTTCTTGACTGCTACCTTGTTGTTCTATCTTCTTGCAAAGGGCGCACCTTCTCAGCTTCTTCAACTGATTGGGCTCAACTTTTAAACCCTTGCTTGAGTGACATTGTAAAGTCATCAAGTCTAAACAAGAATAAGTGATGATTTTTAAAAACCCTAATCGGTGTTCTTTAATATCAAATTATATACAGTATGAAAGGGGAATTATATTGGTTACAATATGAGCACTTTCCAAACTTCTTAAAATGTTCAATATCACTGTGTACACTGAGTTCTTAAGAAATAATTTTTACCCATAATTCACCCATAGACCAGCACACAGACTGATACAACTAACTATAACAGAAACATTTAAGGGGATTAATACAAAGTTCTATAGGAATAGGGGAGAAGAGGTTAGACATGGACAGGGTCCATATGTTGTCAAGGCTTTCAGAGTCCCAGTCTGGAGGAGAGGCTATGCCTCATTACCAGTTTTGCACCAGCTGGAGGCCACCTGATTAGAAACCATCATCACACTGTAGCAGCATCTATTTCTATCAAGGACCTGATGTCCACAGAACCAGTCTTATTGAGTGATCCTGGATGTGATTGAAAGAATGATAAGGGAAATTTTCCTAAAGCATGAGACTCAAAGTTTTCCCTAATTTAAGCATCCACATTGGATTCAGAGTCTATAATGGCTGCTAGTTGTTAGGGAATGAAGCTACACAAAGATCATCATAGTTATATAGCTATATAGTCAGGACTTTTTGAGCAAATATTTCTGGTATCCAGGTTTAATGGTCTTGTAATGGCAAACTAACATTAAAAGTTACAATGTCTCCTGAGGGATTCACAAATATCTCCCCTGGAGCCATCTGCTTCCATTCTCTGGAAAATAAACCCAGGGACCTTGTTCTCCAGAGAATATTTATTTACTTAAGAAAGTTAAGGTCCTGTTCTCCCCAGGGGAAAGATGGGTAGCTAGTTCAGCCGCATCCTGTAAAGTCTGAGATTCATAATCTCCAATTTCCTTTCCTGTGGTGTAATCCTCATGTGCACTGGGTACATCTGGCTCTCATCGCACCTCCCATTGGGGAATTGGAACATGGGTACTGATGCTAAGATCACAATGTAAATCAGTTTGTCATTTTGCTGATCCAGACACTTGCTTCCTGTCAGGGAATAAATGGAGACATAAACAGGCATTAGCCCTTGAGCTCATTCTTTTAAGTTTTGCTTTAAAATCTCCTTCTGCCGTACACATACACGTCTTCTTGGTCTTCTAAATAGGCATGGCAGTGCCTACCTGTCACCACACACCCAAGACCCAGAGGGTGGATTGTGAGTTGGAAGGTAACAGAAGCTATTTGGTGAGTTCAAGGTTAGCCTGGGCTGTACAGTGAGACCCTGTCTCAAAAACAGAAAGCAAACAAGCAGGTAAACTGAATAAATAAGCCATTGTATCAAGAAACAACTAAAACAAAACAAAACAACAACAACAAAAAAACTTACAAAGCTCAATGTTCTTTGTATCTATAAAGAATAAAGTTTTTGGTCATTGGGCATATTTTCTAAACCCATTGTTTGGTATTGACATGCTAATTTGTAAATTTAATTTTGGTTTCAGCTCCTCCCCCTAGCCTACCTACATCCCCTTGAGCCTCGGCTTACTGGAGCCAGGTGTGGAGCCAGGGTCCTTTCTACTCACCTCTGCCATTCCTCTGAGCTCACCTCCATTCTTCTATGGCTCCCCAAACAACTTACAGGGAACTCAGAGCTGCCACACTTGGCTAGGGCCTGGTTAGGCCACCAGGATCCTTCTTTCCTCTCCTCCGTTCTGTTTTTCTAGGGAACCACTTCCACTCCCTTCAGATACGCTGCCATTCATAGCCAGCCCCAGAGTACCTCTAGTACTGCCTCTGCCTCCCGTTGTGGAGGTAGACTTGTGGTAGTGAGAACGGCCCCCATAGGCTGGTAAGTTTGAATGCTTGGTCTCTAGGGAGTGGCATTATTTAAAAGGATTAAGAGGTATGGCCTGGTTGGAGGAAGTGTGTCACTTGGGGTGGGCTCTGAGGTTTCAAAAGCCCAAACCAGGCCCACAATCTCTTTCTCAGCCAGCCAGCAGATCAGGATATAGGCAAGGCCTCAGTTAAATGCTTTCCTTTACGTGAGCTGCTGTGGTCATGGTGTCTCTTTATAGCAATGGAACACTGACTAAGAATGGACCGATGTAATTTAAGAGACCTCCATGGAAATAACCTAGAACCCCTGCACAGATGTACCCCATGGCAGTTTAGTGTCTAAGAGGGTTACATAGTAATGGGAAGAGGGACTGCCTCTGACATAATCTGATTGGCCTGCTCTTTGATCACCTCCCACTGAGGGGGGAGCAGCCTTACCAGGCCACAAAAGATGACAATGCAGCCGCTCCTGATGTGATCTGATAGACTAAGATCAGAAGGAAGGAGAGGAGGACCTCCCTTATCAGTGGACTTGGGGAGGGACATGAATGCAGAAAGGGGGGGAGGGTGAGACTGAGAGGGGAGGAGGGAAGGGTTTATGGGGGGATACAAAGTGAATAAAGTGTAATTAATAAAATAAAATTAAAAAAAGAGACCTCCAGAGTCAGTTCCTTCCCTACTTCTAGCCTACCACACATCCTACCCATTGTATTCATTGCACTCATCAGTACTGCTTCGAGTATGGAAACCAGAGTTCCAACCATAACTTCAGATCTTGGAGCAGTCAGAGTCTGAACCATATGACCCAGATTGGTCCTAATACTGAAAAACAAGCAGTCATTCTTCTTGTCTACAACCTGTCAGAGTGGGTAAAAGAAAGCAAAGAACTGAGCATCTACCCAACACAGGTAAGACCGGGTATCTACACCAAGAATAGAAGAAACATCATACCTACAGAGTCCTAGAGCCCAGAACAAAATACAACCAACACCCAAGACCGGATGCTTCCACCAGAAGCCAGAGCGCCTATTGCAATTCCCCAAGAGGGAGTGGAAAGACTGCCAGAGTCAGAAGACCAGGCAGGTCACCTGCTGTGAGAGAGTGTCTTCTATACATGACAGGGAAGCTGCGCCTATGCTATCTCAACAATGTGGTCATCTAAACAAGACCCACACA